GGGTTAAACAATGATCCAGTTTCATTCTCTTACATGTAGCTATCCAGTTTTGCCAACACCACCTGTTGAAGAGGCTGTCATTTTCCCCATTGTATGCACATGACTTCTTTATTGTATATTAATTGACCATATATGTTTGGGTTAATATCTGGACTCTCTATCCTGTTCCAATGGTCTGTGGGTCTGTTCTTGTGCCAGTACCAAATTGTCTTGATTATTGTGGCTTTGTAGTAGAGTTTGAAGTTGGGAAATGAGATCCCCCCAGCTTTATTCTTCCTTCTCAGGATTGCTTTGGCTATTCGGGGTCTTTGGTGGTTCCATATGAATTTTAAAACTATTTGTTCCAGTTTTTGTTGAAGAATGCTGTTGGTATTTTGATAGGGATTGCATTTAATCTGTAGATTGCTTTAGGCAGGATGGCCATTTTGACAACATTAATTCTTCCTAGCCAAGATCATAGGATGAATTTCCATTTGTTAGTGTCCTCTTTAATTTCTCTCAAGAGTGTCTTATAGTTTTCAGACTATAGGTCTTTCACTTCCTTGGTTAAGTTTTTTCCTAGATATTGTATTCTTTTTGATGCAATTGTGAATGGAATTGTTTTTCCGATTTCTCTTTCTGCTAGTTCATTGTTAGTATATAGGAAAGCAACAGATTTCTGTGTGTTAATTTTGTATCCTGAAACTTTGCTGAAATCAGATATTTGTTCTAGTACTTTTGGAGTGGAGTCTTTAGGGTTTTTTATGTACAATATTATGTCATCTGCAAATAGTGACAGTTTGACTTCTTCTTTACCAATCTGGATGCCTTTTATTTCTTTGTTTTGTCTGATTGCCATGGCTAGGACCTCCAGTACTATGTTAAATAACAGTGGGGAGACTGGGCATCCCTGTCTTGTTCCCAATCTTAGAGGAAAGGCTTTCAGCTTCTCACTGTTAAGTATGATGTTGGCTGTGGGTTTGTCATATATGGCCTTTATTATGTTGAGGTACTTGCCCTCTATACCCATTTTGTTGAGAATTTTTATCATGAATGGATGTTGAATTTTGTCAAATGCTTTTTCAGTATCTATGAAGATGATCATGTGGTTTTTGTCCTTCTTTTTGTTGATGTGGTGGATGATGTTGATGGATTTTCGAATGTTGTACCATCCTTGCATCCTTGAGATGAATCCCACCTGATCATGGTGTATGATCTTCTTGATGTGTTTTTTAATTCAGTTTACTAATATTTTGTTGACGATTTTTGCGTCTATGTTCATCAGGGATATTGGTCTGTAATTTTCTTTTTTGGTGGGGTCTTTGCATGGTTTTGGTATTAGAGTAATGCTGGCTTCATAGAATGAGTTTGGAAGTATTCCTTCCTCTTCTATTTTTTGGAAAACTTTAAGGAGAATGGGTATTATGTCTTCTCTATATGTCTGATAAAATTCCGAGGTAAATCCATCTTGCCCAGGGGTTTTGTTTTTGGGTAGTTTTTTTATTACCGATTCAATATCGTTGCTGATAATTGATCTGTGTAGATTTTCTGTTTCTTCTTGGTCAGTCTTGGAAGGTTGTATTTTTCCAGAAAGTTGTCCATTTCTTCTAGGTTTTCCAGCTTTTAGTGTATAGATTTTCATAGTATTCTCTAATAATTCTTTGTATTTCTGTGGGATCAGTAGTGATTCTTCCTTTCTCATTTTTGATTCTGTTGATGTGTATAGATTCTCTTTTCTCTTGATAAGTCTGGCTAGGGGCTTATCTATTTTGTTTATTTACTCAAAGAGCCACCAGCTCTTGGTTACATTGAATTTTTTTCTACTGTTTTATTCTTCTCAATTTTATTTATTTCTTCTCTGATTTTTATTATGTCCCTCCTTCTGCTGACTTTGGACCTCATTTGTTCTTTTTCCAGTTTCAATAATTGTGACTTTAGTCTATTCATTTGGGATTGTTCTTCCTTCTTTAAATAGACCTGGATTGCTATATACTTTCCTCTTAGAACTGCCTTTGCTACATCCCACAGAAGTTGGGGCTTTGTGCTGTTGTTGTCATCTGTCTTGATATTTTGCTTGATCTCTATTTTGATTTGGTCATTGATCCATTGATTATTTAGGAGCATGTTGTTAAGCCTCCATGTGTTTGTGAGCCTTTTTGTTTTCTTTGTACAATTCATTTCTAGTTTTATACCTTTGTGGTCTGAGAAGTTGGTTGGTAGAATTTCACTCTTTTTGAATTTACTGAGGCTCTTTTTGTGGCCTAGTATGTGGTCTATTCTGGAAAATGTTCCATGTGCACTTGAGAAGAATGTGCATCCTGCTGCTTTTGGGTTTAGAATTCTGTAGATGTCTGTTAAGTCCACCTGTCCTAGTGTGTTGTTCAGTGCCTCTGTGTCCTTACTTATTTTCTGTTTGGTGGATCTGTCCTTTGGGGTGAGAGGTGTGTTGAAGTCTCCTAAAATGAATGCATTGCATTCTATTTCCTCCTTTAATTCTGTTAGTATTTGTTTCACATTTGTTGGTGCTCCTGTATTGGGTGCATATATATTTATAATGGTTGTATCCTCTTGTTGGACTGACCCCTTTATCACTATATAATGTCCTTCTTTATCTCTTGGTATTTTCTTTGTTTTAAAGTCTATTTTGACTGATACAAGTACTGCAACACCTGCTTTTTTCTCCCTGTTGTTTGCATGAAATATCTTTTTCCATCCCTTGACTTTTAGTCTGTGTGTGTCTTTGGGTTTGAGGTGAGTCTCTTGTAAGCAGCATATAGGTCTTGCATTTTTATCCATTCTATTACTCTGTGTCTTTTGATTGATGCATTCAGTGCATTTACATTTAGGGTGATTATTGAAAGCTTTCTTTGCTGTGATTTTATTTTCTCTGGTGACATCTATTTAGCCTTACGAGTGCTTCCATCTTGACCAGTCCCTTTAAAATATCCTGTAGAGGTGGTTTGTGTGAGAGAAATTCCCTCAACTTTTGCTTGTCTGGGAATTGTTTAATCTGTCCTTCATATTTAAATGATAATCATGCTGGATACAGTATTCTTGGTTCAAGGCCCTTCTGTTTCATTACATTAAATACGTCATGCCATTCTCTTCTGGCCTGTAAGGTTTCTGTTGAGAAATCTGATGATATCCTGATGGGTTTTCCTTTGTAGGTGACCTTTTTTCTCTCTCTGGTGCCTTTAATACTCTGTCTTTGTCTTTGATTTTTGTCATTTTAATTATTGTATGTCTTGCTGTTGTCCTCCTTGGGTCCCTTGTGTTGGGAGATCTGTGGGCCTCCATGGTCTGAGAGACTATTTCCTCCCCCAGTTTGGGGTAGTTTTCAGCACTTATTTCTTCAAAGACCCTTTCTATCCCCTTTTCTCTCTCTTCTTCTTCTGGTACCCCTATAATGCGAATATTGTTGCATTTGGATTGGTCACACAGTTCTTTTAATATTCTTTCATTCCTGGAGATCCTTTTATCTCTCTGTGCCTCAGCTTCTCTGTGTTCCTGTTTTCTGATTTCTATTCCATTAATGGCCTCTTGCACCTCATCCAGTCTGCTCTTAAGTCCTTCCAGAGATTGTTTTATTTCTGTATTCTCCCTCCCAACTTGATCCTTCAGCTCTTGCATATTTCTCTGCATGTCCATCAGCATGGTAATGACCTTTTATTTTCAATTCTTTTTCAGGAAGGTTGGTTAAATTTATCTCCCCCGGTCCTCTGTCAGGGGTTGTCTGGGTGATTCTGGACTGGACCAAATTCTCCTGCCTTTTCATGGCAATAGAGGTAGTCGTAGGCAGGTAGCATGTCTGTTAGCTGGGAGAACAAAGTCCTTTCCTGCTTGCTGGTCACCTTGCCCTTCTCCATTGCCTGTGCCGGTTACCTGCACACTGGGAGCAGGCTCTGGGTTATTTTCCTGTGCCATGGCAGGCAGGGAAGTCCAGAGCCCTGCGGGGAGATGCAGGTTCACCAGGTGTGCTCTCCTGTGAGAATAGTGCCCCTCCACGCCTTGCCCCGGCTTCCTCTGCCTGCGCCAGGCAGCTGCGCACCGGCAGTGGCTTTTGGATCTGGTGCAGGTGGCTGCACACTGGGAATAGGCTCTGGACAGCTGCTGTGGGCATGGCCACTCCCAGGCTGGTCTTCCGGGGCTGCGCAGTAGGGGGAATGAATGGCAGGCTGTTTATTGCCGTGAGGGGCTTCAAAACTGTGTTGCCACCCAGGGGGTTAGGGGGCCTGAAGTTCCCCGGGATTCCCCGCTGCTTAGCTGCTTATGCTGGGACTGTTCTGTCCAGCTGTGAAGCCCCTGGCCCTTTAAGACTTTCAAAAAGCACTCGCTTTTCTTTTGTCCTGCGGGAGCCAGCTGCGGGGACCCACTTGCAGATTTTACTTTTCTGTTGCCCTAATATCCAGCACACCATGCAATGTGTGTCTGCACTCCCACTGTGGATTACTAGGGCTGGTTATTCAGTAGTCCTGGGCTTCCACTCCCTCCCCGCTCTGACTCCTCTCCTCCTGCTGGGGAGCTGTGGTGGGGGGAATGCTCAGGTCCTGCTGGTCCATGGCTTGTATCTTACCCCCTTTGTGAGATGCTGAGTTCTCGCAGGTGTGGATGTAGCCTAGCTGTTGTACTGTATCCTCTGGTCTCTCTGTTAAGCGTAGTTTTATTTGTTGTATTTTAAAAAATATATATGGTTTTGGGAGGAGATTTCCACTGCCCTCCTCATGCCACCATCTTCCCCTCTTAACCCTGAACTATTCTTAAAATAAAGAAAAATGTGGGCAAGATGGTACTGCTAGAGAAAGGGGAGTAGCCTTCGGGACTGGGACTAGGATAAGATGAGCCAGGTGCTCGGGTGCAACACTTAAGGAGAATTCAGAGTTGGCACCTGCATGAACATGACAGTGAGCACCTCCTTAAATATTGCACCCCAGGTGCCTTGCTTGCTCCACCCTTGGCCAGGCCCTGGAAGCCATAATAATTTGTGGCAACTTATGGAGAATGTTCCCCCTTTCCTGCCGCAGGTACAAAGCCATTGTCCGGCCGATGGATATACAGGCTTCTCACACCCTGTTGAAGATCTGCCTCAAAGCCGCATTGATCTGGGTCATCTCCATGCTTCTGGCCATTCCAGAGGCTGTGTTTTCTGATCTGCATCCCTTCCATGAGGAAAGTACCAACCAGACCTTCATTAGCTGTGCTCCATATCCCCACTCAAATGAGCTGCACCCCAAAATCCACTCCATGGCTTCCTTCCTCGTCTTCTACATCATCCCACTGTCAATCATCTCTGTCTACTACTACTTCATTGCCAAAAATTTGATCCAGAGTGCTTACAATCTTCCTGTGGAAGGGAATACACACGTCAAGAAGCAGGTGAGTGCTCGGGATTGATTCATTTCCTCTTCGGGGATCTGATCTTTGCATGTCTTTTGGACTGTACAGAGAAGTACAGTATTTACTGATTCTGCTATTAGAGGTGATCTGAGGCCAGATGCTCAATGGAAACTCTTTGCCACAGAAAACCAGGAAATTGGGCTTTCTTTATCATCTTGTTCTCTTATTAAAGACCTAAGCTAGGGAGGTATTGAGAACCTGGAAGATTTAGAGGATAGGATCTTTATCTGAGAAATATCTGGAAAAGTGTTCTGTTGTTTAAAAAATAAAATGTTGAGGCTTGTTGTGATATGACTTCTTTAAATTCCAATCACATTGCTTGGCTAGGAAGAGGATCACCTTCCTAGCCAAGGGGACAAAGCAAAGAGCAGGAAAGTGAAGCTGGTTGAAGATAAAGTATTTGATTAAGATATGCTTACATTGATTTGGGTTCAAATCAAGTCTTCATGACTTACTCACCTATCCTGTCTGAGCCTCAGTTCTCTTATCCATGATGCAGGGTAATAACCCCTATATTGCAAGGCCTGTTGGAGGGCTAGAGGGGAGAGCATATGGAAAGGCAGACAGACTCCCTATCCACTTAAATGTATGGCTGACATAGTTAATGACTTCACCCTTTAAAGTTTTGGGGGTTTTTTGGCCTCAATTATGGGAGGAGAGAGGCAGTTCTCAGTGAAACTCTCTCCCCTCTGGAGAGATCTCTCACTATGAACCTCCTTTGTAGCCCAAATTCTGTAATGAGAAGGGTGTTTCCCCTTGCAGTAGCAGAGGGAGTTGGGAGCGAAAGGAGATAGATGCTCAGCCACTTCCCCTGAGAACCTTCCTGTATAGTATAGAACAGAAACAACCTGAGAATAGAAAGAACAGTATCAGGGCTCTCTCGGTTTGCCAGTGAGGAAGAACAGAGCTGGCTGCTTTTCTGAGCATCAGAGGGAATAAGAAATCATTAACCGTGAATGAGGAAAGACATGAAGTCGTATGGCTGATAAACTGCACCAATGCCCTCCTGAGGAAAAAGAGGGCACTTATTAGAATTTCATTGTGCAGGCCATTCAAGCATGTAATCAACTTTGTTTAAAGATCTGTTCTCAGCCCCCCTTCCTGTGCTCTGCCTCGGGGATGTCTGCCTCCTGGCTCTTCCGTCGCTCTGTTTCTGGCTGTTTTTCCCTTTTCCTGTCTGTTTCTGTGGATTTTCTCCCATTTTACCTGGTTCTTTCTTGTCCTCGATCTCCTACTGAGCCCTTTTCTGTGACTGGCTGAGCTCAGCTGTTTCCCCAATTCTTTTTCCCTTTTTCCCTGTCCACATCTTTGTCTCTGCATTGCTCCCACACTGCTCCTGGTGCCTCTGTCTGTCTGTGACTCTCTCCTCAGATCGAATCCCGGAAGCGCCTTGCCAAGACAGTGCTGGTGTTCGTGGGCCTCTTCGCCTTCTGCTGGCTCCCCAACCACGTCATCTACCTGTACCGCTCCTACCACTACTCCAAGGTGGACACCTCCATGCTCCACTTCATCACCAGCATCTGTGCCCGCCTCCTGGCCTTCACCAACTCCTGTGTGAACCCTTTTGCCCTCTACCTGCTGAGCAAGACTTTCAGGAAACAGTTCCACACTCAGCTGCTCTGCTGCCGGCCCGGCCTGATGACCCGGTCTCACGGCACTGGGAGAAGTACCACCTGCATGACCTCCTTCAAGACTACCAGCCCCTCTGTGGCCACCTTCAGCCTCATCAATGGAAATGTTTGTCATGAGGGATATGTCTAGGCTGACCCTTGACCCTGCCCCCCTAGAGGCCCCTGGTTTTGCCTTGTGGCTAGTAAGGAACCGTCACATCTGCTGTTGCCTCTGTACCCTCCAAAGACCATTTGGAAGGCTTGAGAGGAGTGTAGACATGGTGGGCAGAGACCCAGATGGATCCCTAGTGTGTCTGAAGGGCCCTTCGAGGCTTATATTTTCCATTTCAACTTGTGAGTGTTTCTTCTGATGTATGGGAAACTTTCCCTTTTTTAGAAAAGGGAACAAATAAATAATTATTTTAAGCATCAAGTCCTAATACAGAGATGTGGCCAATTAAGTCATAGAAACTATATGGACAATCAGATTTATATAGCAAAGAAGTTATAACTTGAACATCTACTTTGTGAAAGACTTCATCTTGTTGTTATTTAAGCAGTGGCTAGTGCTTAAGAAATACCATTTGAGTCATTTTTCAGAAATATTTATAACCCCAAACCAAGGAACTGTTTTTTACACAGGTAACCCGAAAAGTCAACCCTGTGTATGCAGGACGGTCCCAAATGGATAACATGGGAGGCCAGTTTAAAACAAATCCCTGAGTGTTGCTTGTTTTTGAAAAACTTTACTGAAGATATTGGAGAAACACTTGACCCATCACTTTAAGGCAAAAACACGACCAAACCCACAGACACATAGAAAGACCCTTGTGCAGCAATGGGGTGATATCTCACACTGAATTCTCACTCGATGGAGGTCCTTTTTGCCGTCATCCAGTTTTAACTGTCTGTGGCACAGCTCTCCTATGGAAGAGAATCCTTTTAGCAGAAAATTGATCATGTCATCAATCCAGCAAACATTTATAAGGGCATAAAGCATAGTATTTATTTTTGGTGTACAAGTTTTCACCCAGATGTATTTGCTTAGATCAGGCTGGTCCTTGTCTGATACACTGAAGCAGTAATTTCATGGGAGAAAAAAGGGATCCCACCTCGGTGGAAATAGCAACATATTTACATTTATCACTAGCTTCACCTCAAGTCTGTGGGAGGAAATGAATAAGACTTCAGTAACATGCATTTCTGTTTGAATATGTATAAATTGCAGGGAGCTTAGCTTTAAGAACTGATTGTAAAACAGCTACACATATACTGATTCTACTTCAGAGGAGTACTTCTGAAACAGCCCATGTGCAGAAAAATACTGGACGGAAATCTTTTTCTTTTTCTAAGTGAGTGAAAGGATTTGACTATCTTACTTTAGAAATCCTGCATCAAGTTTTTCTTGACTCAAGGACAGACCAGCTCTGAGAGACTGCAAACCTGTTCACCCGTTTTCAGATAAATCCCAATCCTGCTAATGTGCTCTAATGTATGTCCCTTACATCCTATGGCAATTTTAGTTTTGATTCTGTCCAGGTGAGAAAGAATAGTCAGCTCTCTTTTCCACATGCACACAGAAAAAGATTTTTGTCTCTTGATATGAGGAGGTATTCACTGTTGGCAGAGCTCTAGGAGTTAAGACCAAGGCAGTTGTAAAGATCTGTGTTTGTAGTTGTGTGAGCTGGAATGAAACCTCTTCACTTCTGTCTGCTACATGCACTCCCGCACTGTACACCGCTGCTTTCCTGGTGGTCTGTAATTATACCGGACAGGCTGAGAAGCAACTGAAAGAACCAGGGTTTCCAGCCCGACATCCTGAGTCCATCTCTAGCCATGTGACCCTGGCTATCAACATCCCTTCTCTAGACTCCTTTTTTTCATCGCTAGAATGAGAAGAGGCACCAAGGTCCTTCTATTGCTAAACTGCTCACGTCTCAGCACTGTTTGCAGCTCTGTCTCTCCAGCATGTTTGCAGCCCATCTGCTCGCAGTTGCCCCACTTCTGCTACCTTTGAACAGTTCCTCTTGGGAAGTCCTTCAGCCACCGTTCCACACTCGTGTTCACATTAGTGGAACGGAAGGACGTGGAACTTTCTATCCCCTCCGGAGCTCCTTGGAATAAGTGTGTGAATGATGTCCATTGGCTTGTTTTGTTTTGAAATTGAAGCTGAAAGAGACGTAAGAAAACAGATTGCTCCACCTCCTCATTTACAAAGGCTCCTCGCCCCTCTCACCCTTCTTCAACCCCATGCTTCTGTTATCCTCAACTACTTACTGCTCCACAGTTTTACCCTTGGCTTTCTTCAAAACCCTTGGGTATAAGTGACTCCATACCTAGGTAGGCTCCAGGGCATACAGCATTCTGGGTACCCAGCATGACTTTTTCAAGCATCTCTCACCCATGTGCTTCCAAAGACATTTTGGGGGTAGGACTCAGTGTCTCCCTAAGGTTAACATCATGGCATAGACTGGGTCTGGTCACCTCCCAGCACCTGGAAAAACAGCCAGGAGATTGGAGTCTAGGTCTAGCTATGTGTCCTTAGGCCAATCTTACCACCTCTTTGAGACTCTTAAATGAAAGGGTTAGAAACTATTCTGTGAATCAAGGATTGGCTCAAACCTTCTTATTGGGATGGACTTAGCTTGGCCCTTGTCTAGGGAAGTAAAACTTTTATTCCCCCTTAAGGACCTGAAATCACAGCAGGGAGACCCAGGCCCCCATGTGGTATCACCTCTCTGTTAGGGCAGACTGTGGCAGGAGCCGGAGCTAAGACATTTCACGCCTGGCTTCCAAAGATAATCACGTTTAGCACTTACGTCTTTGGCAAGGAAAAAAAAAATCAATTTTTGCTGTGGAAAACCATCTGTGTTTATTCAATTGACAGACACTACCTTTCAATCTACCTTAAATTGAGCCTCCCTGAGGCAGGCCGCTCAGCAGTGACAGATTAAGCAATAAACAAGGTCGTCTTCCCCCCAGCCCTGCACCGTGGCTGCGGGCAGGGAAGGCACAGCAGCTGTTAGGGGCCGGCCTGCACAGAGGACCATCCTCTGCTGGTGATGTGACGATTCCCGGTAAGTATGGGTGGCTGAACCTGCTCCTCTGGCTGCCCTACTCCCCCACCAAGTGGCTCAAAATTAACGCTGGCTGCTGGGAGGAAAGGAGCACATTTGCACATTTGTCTAATTTGGGGCCAGAGTTTCATAAACTGGATTAACGGTTGAAAACAAAGGAATTATTTACTCTCCTGGGACCAGGCTTCATGCGAGCTGTTCAATGAAACCAATTCCTGCCAAGCTCTACTCTGTTCCTATCCAGATGGTCATTCCTCTCAGCGCCCACCTCGACAGTGGCCTCCCCGACAACACCCAACACAAACACAACTGGAAAATCAAGTGCTCTCTTACCCTAACTTTGGCCTTCAAAGAGACCCTTTTATAGGTGGGAGCTGAGCATTACATCCAGCTGAATATATCCCGAGCAATCAACAGATTGCACACTGAGAACAGACTTTTCTCCTGTGAAACTGCAATGCTTTCAATGGACTATTTCTAAATTTTTTAAAAGTTTAAGAGCCCCTGGATTAAAATATTACGTGCTCACGATTATTTCAAAAAGTACCCTGCATTTACATAGTGCTCATGGTCTATAAAGCACCGTTATACTCATTGTCTCATTGAATCCAGGCTTTCCCTGCTGGCCAGAGAGCTGCTTGCCATCCTTTCCAATGGAAATTTGTAAATGACATTTACTAGTGACCACCTTCTATTAGGTTAAAAGGCCTATGGAACTATGGGGCTGAAACATGACGCTATGGATATTGGGCCATAGCTGACCTACAAAAAAAGTGATTTCATATGGTTCAGCATAATCTGATTTCATTCATTCTCATGGCTCGTTCTGTGATATTGAAGAACAGTGCCGATCAATGCTTCCCCAGTTTATAGGACAGGCTGTTGCCCCCCTCAAAGTGAGTCTGTTTGACTTGACCCACTGGAGTGAATGGTGTCGCTGTTGCTTGCCCCAGAGAAGCGTGTTAGCGGGATGGCACTGCCCGTCACAGTGGAGTGGAACACTGAGCTAAGAAGGGTGGGCTCTTTGGGAGCAAAACCACAAGCCACAAAACACATGGTGTTTGTCTGAAAGCTGAATGGACTTCTGTGGCTCTGGACGTGCTGGAAAGGAAGTGGCTTAGCTTCAGTAGGTACTGATGATGTGCCAAATGCAGTGCTAAGCACATTTGTCGCCATCCTCCCAGGCACCTTGAAAAGTATTCAGGTGCTGAAGCTGAGGCTCAGAGAGATGACATTACGATCCCAGCACAGTTGAATGGCAGAGTATGTGGACCTGGATCTCTCTTAGGCCCATGGCCATTCCACTGCTCAGCACTGCTTCCCAAGTCCAGCCCATGTGAGAAATTAACTTACAGCACTAATAGACATTCCTGTTCCCTACTCCAGATTTTGTCCAAAGGCCAGAGCTAGTGATAGAGCCAAAGAATATGCACAAAGCACATTGAAAATGTTTCTAAGCACTTAAGCTGAGGACTTACTGCAGGCAGTGGCTGAAATGCAGCACGAAGCAGGGGGGCAAGAAAGCCCTGTAGCTCCTTTACCTGCAGAGACACAATTCAGTTGCAACAGCAAGGCCTTGGAAGGCTTCCCACTCATTTCTGTGATTAACCCATGAGCAGAAAACCTTGATGAAGGGCCACGTAAATAGGGAAGACCCAAATGAGAAGAGTCAGTCCAGGCATCTTTCTTTGAATCAGGATTAGTTGGAGAAAAGGTGTCAGGAAAAGGTGGAACCACCTACTTCCCTACTTTCCCCCCAGAAAAGTAGAAAGATATGAGAGTGGATGGAACGGCCACTAAGAGAACATTCTCTCCTGCACTAAGGCACCTAGTCACGAGCTCAGGGACAGGCTTAGGTACCTGAGTGCCTAGCTCGGAGTGCCCTGTTATTAACCCAGACACAATCTCTCAGCCTACTCTGAGCTTGCTTTCTAGAAGATCACATTTTTTTTTCTTTTCTTCCCCAAATTTAAAACTCATTCCCAGAGCCATAATGACATGGAAGGACTCACATAATTTTATGGTCTTTTAAAAGGATCATTTTAATAGACAGTAAAATCTCACACATTCAGCACCTCATTAATTCCCAGATAAGCTTGAAAATTTTGGTATAACTCAGGATATCAGTGTTCAAGGTAGTTTATATTATTTGGGCCTCCTGGGAATCCAAATTTTTTCATCACTCTGCTTCAGTATTAGCTATTCATATTGATATATTGATATTAATAATGTACAACATAAAGCAAAACTGATTTTAAAAAAGAATTTTTTTTTCCTGTAATCTGACCTAAGTGATTCAAACATGACCTTTTTGCATCCAAGTCGGCAGGGTTTTGGGTAATAAAATTAATTGAAACAGTCAGTTCAGTGAGTTGTAAAAATACATGGCACAAACTTCCCTAATGTCACTTTCTGTTTTTTAAATATGAGACTCATAATTTGTAAATTATAATTGTACTTGTTGCTATTAACTGTAAATATTTATTGCATTAAAAAAGTACTCTGTGTTAAATAACTCAGAACAAGTTCCAGCTGTGGTACGTAGTATAAATAATGTCATGGCTTAGCTTTGCCTAGACTCTTTAGAGTAATGAATTATTTATAAGAAATTCACAATATTAACATGAATGATTCAGATCCTTTTAAATGTGCAAATGTAACTGTGTGACCATGCAAAATTCTATCCACGAAATATACTCTTTGATTGTACTCATTTTTCAAGAAGTGTTTCCAACGCTTCTACTACATTGTACCTGATCTGTATGACATTAAGTCAAATCCAGTGGAGTAAGGTGAATATTTAAGTTATAAAAGATAAGAAATGTGTTTTATTTCTTAATATAATAAAACATAATTTAGGAAATGGACAGATGCATGTATTCAAAGTTCAATAAAAATGTGGCTTATGCATGAATGTTGTCTGTGGCCATATGCCCCACACTTCCTTGGCTCCAGAACCATCTACATCAGAATCACTCAGGCTGCTTGTTGCACAGTGCGCATCCCCCAATTCCCTATTGACTTTAAACATTGGAGGTGTGGCCTAAAAATCTGCATTTTAATAAAGCAAGCACCCCAGGTGATTCCTTAGAACGTGAGGGTTTTGTTTTATTAAACCTTTAAACTATGTATTTAACTTTTGAATAAGTAAGCCATTCTCATGGCTCAAAATCAAAAGCATGGAATGTATTCAGTGAAAAGTCACTAGGCTTCCACTGTCCCCTGTCCTCAGAGTTCTCAACATTCATCCCCACCCCACTCCAATGGGTGACCATTGTTATTAGTTTCTTGTACATGTGTACTACTGGACATTTCTTATGTATATAGATAATAAATACAAATATGTGTTTTCCCGCACACCACCACTGTTTTGCAGAAATGTTGGCAGATTATATGCATTGTTTTGGCCCTTGTATGCTTCACTACAAACCATTACGCTGAAGATCTTTCCATATTATTATACAGAGTTCTTCCTTGTTCTTTCTTACACCTGCATGGTACCTCCAAATTTATTTACCCAGTCCCCCACTGATGGACATTTAAACTGTTTCCAGTATTTTACTATTATGAACCGTGTTGCAATGAATAACATATATAATTTCATGGCTCAGCAAGTGTTGCTGTAGGAAAAAATCCTAAATGTGGCATCGCAGAAACAAAGACCATTATATATTTAGAACTGGGACAGTTATTCCAAATTGAATGAATACCAAAGATTGAGAACCTCTGCTTTCTGGGATAATCCTAGCCATCAGAGATCAGGACAGCAGTAAAGAAATGGCACAACAATTGGTTGCAAATGGGGGCTGTCCAAACTCCCTGCACGCTAGGTGAGAAGAGGTATCTGGGTATACCCATCAGATGCAGTCAACCAGTTCCTTGAGGGGCACACTGCCAGCCATGCCAAGGGGAGTCCATTAACCACCACCTTGGAGTCATCTCGGGAGAAGGCTTTCTGCTTCCCAGAGAGCTCACACCTTCCCCTGCCATGTATCCCACCCCTATGGTGTGTGACATGTACAGCCCATGGTTAATCTGGAAATGCTCTCATAAAGTGTCATTTTTAGTAGTTAAAAGTAATGATTCATAATTGGGCCTGAAGTAGATCCTGTATCTCTAGCTTTCCTGGATTAGATGGGAAGGTGGGCAGACTAAAATCTTTAAGACACCCAGAGTATAAAATTCCAGATTGACATTTAAGGTTGGACCCTGTTAATTGCTAGAATACCAGTCAAATCCTAGGTGAGCTTTCCTATTGGAAACTGAACTATCTCTTTGTGAGCATGCTGCCTGCCATGTCAGAAAAGAAAGCTTTATTCATGCATAGATTATAATATGGACAATTTCATATTCTCTTAGAGTCATGGATTATTGGAGTTGGAAGATGCCCCTGAGAATACCCAGACATAGCCCCACATCTGCCAAATGAGAAAGTTAAAGAAAAGTGTCATGATTTGTGTTTCCACATGGTCATCAGACTTTGGGAAAGTGAGAACTAGTTGGCTTGAAGCTGATGTGGATGAGGAGAGGCCCAGCAGGCCCTCTGCTAGAGGGAAGGTGAATCTACACAGGGCAATCTTGTAACACACATGAGGCAGACAGCCTTCCTGTTCGCTGGGCTCAACACTGATAAACAATGGCATCTGATACAAGAGAGATGGGATAACATCTTGTCAAGAAAACAACACAAAGCAAGAGTCCTGTGCCTAGAATATGGACTGAACTGTGTTCTGTATTATAAAAATGCATTCCTGAAAGCATACTTCCCTTCCCAGAGCTGAGATCAGGGAGATGAACACTTTGCTCCAAATCACTGGACAACTTTGACATCCCTCTTGTGTGTTTTCCAGTGTCCCTTCCCACCTTCCATGACAGCCCAGTGCTCCTCAGTGCCTCTTAGGGAGATGGGACTGGCTCGGAGTCACCAGTGTGCTGTTTGCTAGAACAGTCTATGTTGGCGTGTCCATTCCTGGGAGTTTTGCAAGATAGTGTTACTTCACATATGGTCTGTGGACCAACAGTGTTGCCATCACCTGGTAACTGGTTAAAAATGCACTCTGTGCCCTTCCCCAGACCTACTACATCAGAATTTTAACATATCTCTGAGTGAATCCTACACATCTGATATTTGTGCCCACTGAGAGGCCATCATCTACTGTGAACAAATCCATATTGGGCTTGATAGTTTCACTGGGCCATCTGGTGGTGTCTACACGTTTCCCCAAACCTTCCGGGTTGTGGAATCTCTTGGAATCCCTTCTGGAAACCTTGGAATCCCTTTCTTGATGTATCTTAACCTATCCCTGCTTTCAAAGGACTAGGAGTATATGAGTTTAGGACATCAGCCTTATAGGACTGCTCATCCTTATCAGCCTAGAGTCATCTAACATTGCTCCCTTGTGGTGTCCAAATGAGGTCAGCCAACAGGGGCTGTCATCTGTTGTACTCGAGTCATGCCATGACCAGAAAGACTAATTTTACCTGATAGCAGCTAACGGGATATGTCATGCTTCCCAGGTTCCCATAAGAAACCTTGGTCCAAAACAGAAATTGTATTTGCTTGTTGCTTAATGTTTCTTTCAAAGAACTGAGAGCTTTCTGCCCATTAAATCCACCTTAAAGAAGGTATTGGGCTTCTGATTAGATGGTGTCATTCCAATCTTATCAAAGCCAGATGAGGTTGTTAAAAGGTCCAGTGTACTTGCCCTCAAAAGCAGAATCCTGACCGCAGCAAAACCTTCTTTGCTGTTCCTTTAAAGTAGGAGGGTGCAGTTTGGCTTGGACAAATAAAAAAGGGAAACATCTCACAAACCAGTGGCTAAAACCAGATGCATCCTATCTGAATATTGTGAAGGGAACAAAAGGGCAGCAAGCCCTTCCTGGTCTCTCACTCTCATGCGGTCTTGACATTTCCATATTGCTGCCCATTTGAGGAGAACATAGAAAAGGGGTCACTTCAAATTATGTGGGTGCCCAATGATAAAGGCCAGTCACACTTTGACATTAAATGGTCATTTATATTCCAAACCAAACTCACTCTCTCAATATCCTTCACCTCATTTTGTGTTCCCTGTGCCTTCTAATGGCTGTCAAAATCCCCCATTGTCTAAATTCAAAACCTCACTATCATTTCTGGTTCCATCTGGATCACTGTGGGTAAAACTATAATATTTCCAAAATCTCTCAGCTGGCCTTATTGCATCTTCAGTATGAATAGGTGTTTCCAAGGGGTGGAGAGAAGTAGTCCATCTCCATATCAATAGGTGATTACAAAGTGGGTGTAGATCAAGCTGGAGAGGTTTGGTGGGGTCCTTTTTACAGCTGGGACACAAGACACATGGGCAAGCAAAAGTGAACGACTGCTCATAGACAATGAATGGGTTTCATAAACTTTATTTCTCCCTCTGATTTCGGCTTCAAAGGTAATTTGCCCTGGGCTGCAAACTTATTTTCCCCCCAGAGTTACGTCTGGCAGTAGTCGGCAGGATCTCTTAATTCAAAATCTGTCTTCATGGGTGTGACCCTTGGGTGGGATGCCCCTAGAGATGGTGGGGAGATACCTGGAACCCCCCTGTGGATGGTGGGGAGGCCCCAGTAGCTGCAGTCGTGGAGGGTGTGGCTTCACCCAGGAGTCCCCTATCTGTGGGGCTTCCAATTGGGAAGCCCCTAGTGGGGAATTGGTCTAGGGTAAAGCACCTCCTAGACAGGTGAGCTTTCCTCAGAATTGGGGAAGGGTGGTGACACTGGAAGCTGTAGAATTAACCCTCTGTGAGATAGAAGACTGCTTAGAGGCCCTGAGTGACCGTGTAGCAGCCAGGATTGTGGGATGTTTATAGTGGAAAATGTTACCGAGGAGAGAGACACTTTGGCAGGAGAGAGACACACTGCAGCATTGCTTGGAGGAGCTGGGTTATGAACTATGGGTTGTCCTTAAAAAAGAGAAAGTTATTGAGAAGACAGGTCATGCTCCTTGAAGACACATTAGCAGCTAGGGAGGAGGCAGCAGGAGAATCCACATTGCAGGAGGCCATGGGAAAGCGGGAGGAAAGAGCAGTGCCTTCAGCCCTGGCGATAGTAGAGAACATGTCAGGGGAGGATGAGGGGTGGGGCTAAGGTCTGACCTGTTGCCAAGGCCACCACCCGAGGCACCAGCCTCTTCTGTATTAAAGGCCTACCCTGTTGTAATTTAGAAAATGAAACCGCAACAACTGTAGGCTCCTCAGGGGGAGGAACAACCCCTAACCCAGGCTGTGGAGCACTCCATGCTCTGCCCCTATACCCAGGATGAGCTTGTGGACATGAGCATCTGGTTTTGGCAGAAGCCATAGGAACCTCTGCCTACATAGCTTTTGCGTCTTTGGGATATGCAAGTGGAAAACATTGTTATGTCGGGTTCTGAAATGGGTAGCCTGGCTTCCCTGACGACTCACCCTTCCCTCCAGCAGCGGTTGCAAAGTGCCCATCAAACCTCAAGGAAGCATGCACTTCTGGATTGGCTGACCACTGCCATCAGGGCAGTTTGGCCTGATCAGGGTGATTTACCATGCTTACACACTAGCTGGAAAACATATGCAGAGCTCCAGCAGGTGTTACAGGAGCTGGGCATGAAAAATATCATCTATAATATGGACCCCCAGGGCCATAGGAATATAATATGGACCATAGGAATGAGAAATCTGGTCCTCCATAGAGCTACCCCATCTCTCTTTGAGTCCCTAGTGACTACTCTTGCCCCCCATATAGGGCAACCCATAAGTGAGGCTACTTATACTTTAGCAGATTTGGGGGAAATTGAAACAATAAGAGCACAGAAGGAAGTAGGGCTGTGACTGAAAGGAGAGGCGCAAAGGGCCCTGTGCAGGTCTTGAGGACCCAGATGTGGTTTATTTGATAAAGGCAGGGT